TCCTTCTGCCTCAGCCTTCCAAGTAGCTGGAACTACAGGCGCGCACTGCCACGCCCGGCTTATTTTTGATTTATTGTAGAGATGTGGTCTCGCCAAGTTGCCCAGGCAGGTCTCGAACCCGCAGGCTCAGGCAATCCACTCACCTCAGCTTCCCAAAGCGCGGGATTATAGGCTGAGCCACCAAGCCCGGCCACAAATTTTCAAATTTGTGGTGGTAGTCTCAGCTACTCGGAGGCTGAGGCGGGAGAATCATTTTATCTTTTGCCTATTTGGGGCATTTCCTATAAATGGAATCATGCAGTATATGTCCTTTTGTGTATGGCTTTTTTCACTAAGCAGAATGTTTTCTAGGTTCATCCACATTGCAAGCAGAGACCAGTATTTCATTCTTTTCTATAACTGAATAATATTCCATTGTATGGATAGACCACATTTTGTTGATCCATGCATCTGTCCATGTACACTTGAGTTGCTTCTGTGTTTTGGCTACTGTGAATAATGCAGCAGGTATTTTTTCATGGCCCTCAGCTCACCCCAGAGGGAGACAGTGATTTCTGGAGAAGGAATGGGCAGCCTCATATTGGCTATGGTGGTGTCAGGAGACTTGGGTGGTCTCCCCCTCCCCTCCCCTGCTTCTCTGCCCTAGCCAAGCAACCCTCTCCATCATTTTTCACTAGCTCAACTAAAGTACATCTGCATCTAATCATTGTTTCCTGCTTCCAGATTCCTTGTCTACATGGGGGCTAAATCTACATGTGGCCTACTCAAGGCATGGTTTGGATCTCTAGGTACTTTAAGAAGCCACAATTCCTTGGGCTAGAAGAGGACCCAGTACCACAAGGATCTGAGGCTGAGGGTACATCTCTAAGGCTACATACAGGCCAAGAGAGGACAGAAGGCTCTGGATGATTTGTCTGGTACTTGATAGGTTTGTCCTCCACAGAGCCTGGGTCCTGCTAGTTCAGCAGAGGCCCCACCTATCCTTAAGTGAAGCCGAGCTTTCCCTCCCTTTGCCAAATATACCTTTTCTGTGAGATAAAAGCCCTCTCCAAGCCGTATATTGCTCCATAGACCAATGTGACAGCTCTTACAAAACAGATGAGTTCCCCAGTGGAGTGAAAAATGAATGAAATGTGCATCTAAGATCTCTGGATTCCCTGAGACATCCCGGGAAAGGGCTCTCCCTGGAGTGTGGTGATGGAAAGAGGCAGGCATCGGTTACACGGGTCTGTACAGGGAAGCAGAATGAGGGAATTAATAGTGGGTGTGTGTGTCGCCGGGCGCGGTGGCTCAAGCCTGTAATCCCAGCAGTTTGGAAGGCAGAGGCGAGAAGATTACCTGAGCTTAGGGGTTCGGGACCAGCCTGAGCAATTTGGCGAGACCTCGTCTCTACAATAAATCAAAAAATCTGCCGCACATGGTGGCACATGCCTGTGGTTCCAGCTACTTGTAAGGCTGAAACGGAAGGACCGCTTGAGTCCAGCAGGTCGAGGTTGCCAGTGGTGGTGAGCGTGCCACTGCACTCTAGCCTGGGCGACAAAGTGAGACTCCGACTCAAAAAATAGAAGTCAGGCCTGGAATTCTCTTTCTCATTCTTTTTAGCTTTTTGGCTGGCCTCGGTCTGCTGGAGCCTTCCAGCGGCCAGGCCGGGATGCATAAGGACCACAGACATCTCCCCGAGGCAGCCTTCCACACCCTCGAGTGGGTACTGTCATCCGAGAAATGCACAGAACGTGGCGCGTGCCCAGCGCGGACCTGGGACTCTAAGACCGGCTACGCGCTCAAGGCCCGGTGCCCTTGACAAAGAGACTCAAGGTCACGGAGGTCCCGCCCCTAGGCGCGACTGTCCGCGCGCGAGGCCGGTCTCGCCCACGCTCCCGTGCAGGCAGCAGCCCGGGCAGCCCGGCGCGCGCCGTGACGTCATCGCGCCGTGCCCGAGGAAGGCCCGTCCCGCGCGGGTCCGGCCCGCTTTCCCCGCCCCGCCCCATCCCGCGTGGTTGCGCGCGGTGCTCTGGCCGGAGGACATGGCGCGTGAGCTGCGGGCGCTGCTGTTGTGGGGACACCGCCTGCGGCCCCTGCTACGGGCGCCGGCGGTGGCGGCCGCTCCTGGAGGTGAGAGCGACCAGGCTGGATGGGCAGCGGGCGAGGTCGGAACGCGGACACGGCAGGGGCGTTCCTCCGAGGCTCTAGCGAGTCTTGGAGCTCCAGGCTGAGAGGATCTCGAAGGCGGCACCTGCCTCAGGGCGTGGGAGGACCCGCAGGGCGGCGTGTGGCGAGCCCTGGGCACGTGCCTTTCCGTCGGCCCTGGTCGGGTGTCTTCTCCTCGGGTGGACTGCCCTGCCACGCGACCTCTCGGGACCTGACACAGGCCGGCTTCGGTCCGGGGTTTGGGGAGGCGCGGAGCAGCCGCGGGCTGGTCCTCCCCGGAGCTCAAGTCGCTTCTGAGAGCGGACTCACTGAGGGTACAGGTGTGTTGGGGACGGACTTGCGCGGGGAGATCGTGCGAGTCCCCCGGGCTGTACTTTTACCTCCCCGCCCCCTGGCTTGCACCAGCCGTTCTTTCGTTAGCTGGTTTGTTAGATGCATTTCTGAGCGCCCGCTCCGCGCCGGGCACAGGTTCGGCGTCTTGGGACGCGACAGGCAACAAAACCAACAGCGACGTCGCCCGGACCCTCAGGGATCTGGTGCACTCTGGGTTGTTGACCCAGCTGTAGCACCAGGGCCTGGAATTGGTGGGTGCTCCGGACAAGAGGAATGACCTTAATCTCTACTTTCGCACACCCTGCTCGGAAGTAACCACAGTGAAGGTTTTGGCTCTTCTCCCGGGCTCTGCACACTCACTTACACCCATGAATAAATATAAACACACATGTGTAACTGACTTTACGTTAAAAAGCTGAAATCTTTTATGCATTGTGCTACAGGATTTTTTTCTTTGCCGTTACCAGCATTCTTTATATCTTTTTTCTTGTCAGTTTGCACGAGTCTTGGGGCTTTCTAGTGGCTACACAGTATTCTTTTTTTTTCCAGTCGGAGTCTCACTCTCACCCAGGCTGGAGTGCAGTGGCATTCTCCCAGCCATCGCAGCCTTGACCTGCTGGGCTCAGGCGGTCCTTCCATCTCAGCCTTCCAAGTAACTTGAACCACAGGTGTGCACCACCATGCCTGGCTATTTTTAAAAAATATTTATTATAGATACAAGGTCTTGTCAAGTTTCTCAGGCTGGTCTCCAACCCCTGAGCTCAGGCAGTCCTCTCATTTCTGCCTCCCAAAATGCTGGGATTACAGGCGTGAGCCGCCACACACGGTCTACACAGTATTCTATATTGTGGACATATTTGCTTAACATTGTCCTATTAATGGACTCTAAAGATTATTTCAGGCTTTTGTTTTTATTCCAAGGCTTCATAGAATGTGAAAGTACTTAAATCTTTGTGCGCGTGTGTGGTATTTCTTTACTTACATGATTAGAGTTATAGAATTATTGTTTCAGAGCCTATGTCTTTTTGGAATGTTAGCCAATATTGCCAAACTGGTTCAAAAAGGCTTTATCAATTTATATTCCCATTAGCAGGCATCAGGATTGCCTATTCGATAATGTCTTCTCCAACACTGGATATTATGCCTTTTCCACACCAGTCATCTATAAAAGATACCTTGCTTAATTTTTTTTTAAGTTTTAAAGCAAAGTTTATAGAGAAAGACAAGTGGAAAGAAAGGGAGACATGCCAGAACTGGCTTGGGCTAGAGAAACCGCCATACCTTGCTAATTTTTGTTTGGATACTAGGAGTAAGAATGTTTTCACTTAATGGCTATTTGTATATCCTCTTTTTATCTTTCATACCTTTTTCTGTTACCTGAGTTTTTAATTTTGGTGTAGTTTTTTTTTTTTCCCTTAAGTCTTGATTTTTTTTTTTTCCAAGTCAGAGTCTCACTCTGTTGCCCAGGCTGGAGTGCAGTGGCACATCATGGCTCACTGGGACCTCAACCTCCCGGGTTCAGGCAATGTCTTCGGCCTCAGCCTCCGTTCATCCCCCATTCATTTCAGTAGCTAGGGCTTGGTATGTTTCCTAGGCTGTCTTCACTAGAAAGGCATTCCATGCTGAGAAAACTGCAGATGCAAGGGTAAGGAGGTACTTTGACAAGAGACTAGATGGAGTATGCCAGAGTGCTGGTGAAGGAGGCTAACAAACGTGACCTTTCTTTTCTGTCAGATATAAACCTGTGGGTAGAAGCCACATCCTGTAATTCTCAGGATAGTCACAGAGCCAGACTTGGGCCCAATACTTGGAGAACCAGTTACCTGGCACTATGAGGAACACACACACCAGACTTTCTGATGCCCCCAGGGCCTGATAACTGATTCATTTACCGATAATGTCCTTTATTGTGAATCTTAAATTGATTGGTAGTTGGAAACCAACTGTATTATAAACAACAGAATTACAGCCAAGTAATCCTCTCCCCTGGTAAGAGTGCTTATTCATTATAGGAAGTAGGGATAACAGAACATGGATTACCTGGGAAATGCAGTGTTAATAATAAAAACATAAACTGCCATTAGATCTTTTTACTGGAGCTCCAACAAGTATCAGAAGTATCAGATTTTCCAGTAGACTGATGAGGCTACCTCCCAAAGGAGAGGTTCAACCTGAAAAAATCAGCAGCAGATGCAGTTTCCCAAAGCAAATATGATTTTGTGGTCAGGCAGATGGGCTGGTGGCTGGTTATTTTGCATGGCCAGGTGACTGCCATGTTCACCAGAATTGCCAAGCCTAGATTCCTAATCATGCCAGTTGCTCTTGCTTTTGTGGTTGAAATGACCAGAACATGACTGTGGGTACTAGTTGGTGCTGGAGGTCTTAGCCCTTTACGTCCTCTGTCAGCTGGAGCCCTTGCTGGAATTTCCTGTCTTGGAATTAAGAGTTGTAAGGGTGGGTTCTGCTTCCAGCACTGGGAAGGCTGAAGGAGCTAGTTTCCTCTGTTTGCTGAGGGCCCAAACACTGGCAGGTTTGCTTCATCACTTGGACTCCACCCTTGAGAGGGACACCTGCCTGACTGAACTCTCCCTTTTAGTGCTTTATTTTGTTGACTTGTTTGTTTCTTCTGTTTTCCCTTTGCTTGGAGCTCATGCTCTTTAATTTCTTTGCCTCTTGCCCTGCAGCCTTCACAAGAACTAAGGTGAATTTCTGGTGTTCTCAGGCTGTCCTTTTTTTTTTTTTTGAGTTGGAGTCTCACTCCGTTGTCCAGACTCGAGTACAGTGGCACACTCATGACCACCCCAGCGTTGACTTGCTAGGCTCCGGGGATTCTTCCACCTCAGCCTTCCAAGTAGCTGGAACTACAGATGTGTGCTACCACGCCCGGATAATTTTTTTTAAATTTTAATTTATTGTAGAGATGAAGTCTTGCCAAGTTGCCGGGGCTGGTCTCGAACCCTCAGGCTCAGGGAGTCCACTCCCTTGGCCTCCCAAAGTGCTGGGATTACGGGCTGAGCCACCTAGCTTGGCCTTACTGGTCAAATTTTACTTTCTGTGAAACAGCTCTTATATTTCTAAGATGGTGTGCCACTCTAAATTTAACAGTCTTACTGCCTTTGCCATCTGTATAAGCTGTGGTGTTGGGGCTTAGGCAGAGTAGGGAGGTATGGCTCAGCTGTCCAAGGTGTACTAGGCGGGCCTTCACCTTGGTTAAGACCAAGGGGGCTGAGTTATCTGAGCTGTCTGAAAAAGACCAAGACCCAAGTGTCCTAGAATAGCAGAGACTATTATTATTATTATTATTATTATTATTTTGAGTTGGAGTCTCACTCGGTCGCCCAGACTGGACTGCAATGGCCGCTCCTGGCCACCGCAGCCTCGCCTGCTGGGCTCTGGCGATCCTTCCGCCTCAGCCTTCCAAGTAGCCGGAACTACAGTCATGCGCTACCATGCCTGGCTGATTTTTTGATTTATTGTAGAGCTGAGGTCTCGCTGCCCAGGCGGGTCTCGCACCCTTGGGCTCAGGCAATCCACTCACCTCAGCCTCCCAAAGGCATGGGATTACAGGCTGAGCCACCGAGCCCGGCTAGAGACCTTATTAGTAACTGGCTGAGTAGTTGTCCTAAGCTAAGATGAAAGAGAAATCTCCAAATACTTTTGCTACCTTTGGCAAGAATAAAGGGACTACAACTTAGTGAGTTGATGAGAAAAACAGAGGAGGAAAATAAACATTTATACCCTCAAATGTCAGTAAATATTGTGCAACAAAGGTGAGTTCCGAAAAGGAGCCCTTTACTGAGGCCAGTAGTGCTTGTTTGCTTATCTCAAAATACAGTGAATGGGTCTTTAAAGAGAAGGAAGATGTGTCCAGTTCACACTCAAATGAAGTACTTTAGGTTCAACATGAATATGTTCTTGGATTATGCTTTTGGTGCCCAAGGTGTAGCCAGCTAGAATTTTTCTAAACACCATCCTGCTTCGTCCTACTGAAGACTTGCCTTTTACTAGGAAGCTGCTTTTGCCTAGTTCACAAAGAGACGTCCCTGAAGTTCTGTAGCATTTAGTAAAGATGCATTTCAGGATATTTATTTCTGGTGTGGTTAGTTATTTCTGCTAAAACCACTAGGAATTACCATAAGAGCTGTAGCTAGGAGGACCAGTGTCTGCTCACGGGGGCATTCTTTCTGTCTGCTTTTTAAATTGGCAAGTTCCCATAAACAAGGTAAATTGAAAGCTGATGTAACTGAGTCATGGGTTTTTTGTTTTGTTTTCTTTTGTCTTTGAGCCAGTTTCTCACTATCACCCATGTTGGAGTGCAGTGGCACACTCAGCCACCCCAGCGTTGACCTGCTGGACTCTGGGGATCCTTCCACCTCAGCCTTCCAAGTAGTCGAAACTACAGGTATGCACTACCATGCCTAGCTAATTTTTTATATATTATAGAGATGCTGTCTCACCAAGTTGTCCGGGCTGGTCTGGAACCCCTGGGCTCAGGCAGTCCTCTCAACTCGGCCTCCCAAAGTGCTGGGATTACAGGTTTGAGCTACCGCACCTGGCCGTGAGTCATGGGTTTTAACAAATGGCTCAGTTATTTAGCAGCCATATAATCTAGAAATGCAATTAAAATGTAA